GGCCGCGTTTTTCACCGGCGGCCACCAGGGGGCGACAGCGACCGGCGACTACCGGGGACACCTGGGGGCGCAGGTGAGGCCGGGACCCCAAAAAACCCCAAAATTCCCCCCAAAAAACTCCAAAATCCCCCTAAAACCTCCCCAGGGACCCCCAAAACCCCTCAGGAATCCCCAAACCCACCCGGATCCACCATTACGGGAACACCTGGGGGCTGCAGGTGAGGACGGGACCCCCAAAAAGCCAAAATTCCCCCCCAAATCCCCAAAAAAACGCCCAAAAAACCCTAAAACATCTCCAGAGACCCCCCCCGCAAAATCCAGGTGTACCCAGGTACCCCCAAAGGTACCCCAGGTGTGCCCAGGTAGCCACCACGTGTGCCCAGGTGCCCTGAGGTGTGCCCAGTAGTTTCCAGGTGTGCCCAGGTGTGTCCCAGGTGTGCCCAGATGTGCCCAGGTGTGCCCTAGGGATGCCCGAGGCGCTCCCACGGATACCGCAGGTGCCCTCAGGTGTGCCAGGTGTGCCCAGAGATGCCCCAGGTGTGCCCAGGTGTGCCCCCAGGTGTGCCCAGGTGTACCCCAGGTGCACCCAGGGATATCCCCTGGTGCCCCCAGATGAGCCCAGGTGAGCCCCAGGTGCCCAGGTGTGCCCAGGTGCCCCCAGATGTGCCCCAGGTGTGCCCGGGTGCACCCGGGGATGCCCCAGGTGGGCCAGGTGTGCCCTAGGGATGCCCCAGGTGCTCCCATGGATACTGCAGGTGTGCCCAGGTGCCCCCAGGTGTACCCAGGGATACCCCCAGGTGTGTCCCAGGTGTGCCCAGGGATACACGAAGTGCCCCCAGGTATGCCCAGGTGCCTCCAGGGGTGCCCAGGTGTACCCAGGTGTGCCCAAGTGTGCCCAGGTGCCCCCAGAGATGTCCCAGGTGTGCCACGGGTGCCCCCGGGGATGCCCCAGGTGCCCCCAGGTGTGTCCAGGGATGCCCCAGGTGTGCCTAGGTGCCCCCAGGTGTTCCCCGGTGCCCCCAAGGGTGTCCCAGGTGTGCCCCAGGTGCCCCGAGGTGTGCCAGGTGTGTCCCAGGTGTGCCAGGTGTGTTTGCTTGGGGGCACAGCTGGAGCGGGCACAGCTGGAGGGGGCGCGGCGCCGGCGGGACCTGGAGCAGCGGCACCACCTCCTGCTGCAGCAGGTGGGCGGGGCCTTGGGTGGGCGGGGCCTGGGTGGGCGGGGCCTGTGGTGGGCGGGGTCACATGGGGGCGTGGCCAGCAGTGAAGGGGCGTGGTAAAATGTGGGGGCGGGGCTACAGTTGAAGGAGGTGGGCGTGGTTTGCTGTTGGGTGGGCGTGGTCCTCTCCAGGGGGCGGGGCTTGTGCGGTGGGCGGGGCTCTGTGATTGGCAGCCCACCAGGGGCGTGTTCGCTGTTGATTGGCAGCTGGTTGGGTAAGGGGGCGTGGCCGGCTGTGATTGACGTGCCTTAGGCGTGGATGATTGACAGGAGGTTGGGCGGGGCCTCGGTTTGATTGACAGCTGCACTGGAGTTGATTGACAGCTTGGGAGGGGATCACTTTGATTGACAGCTCAGGGAGGGGTGGGGCTTAATCCCTCTGGACTAATGAGGGATGAGGGGCGTGGCCAGGCTTTGATTGACAGCTGTGCTAGAATTGATTGACAGCTCGGCAGGGGATCAGTTTGATTGACAGCTCAGGGAGGAGGTGGGGCTTAAACCCTCGGGACCAATGGGGGATGAGGGGCGTGGCCAGGCTTTGATTGACAGCTGGACTGGAGTTGATTGACAGCTCCGGGAGGGGCGTGGTTGGGGCGGTGGGCGGGGCCTGTGTTGATTGGCGCCTCGCAGGACCTATCGCGGGAGGAGGTGGGCGTGGCCTCGGCGGAGGCGGGGCCTGAGGCCCCGCCCATGGAGGGGTACCTGTACAAGAGAGCGAGCAACGCCTTCCGCACCTGGAGCAGGTAAAGTCAGCCAAAATGCCCCAAAATCACCCCAAAATCACCCCGAAAAACAC